TAAGACGATACCATAGGAACACTTCCACATCCGTAACCACCGCCATATCCATTAGAGTCTCTTACCAAACAGGTGTCACTCTCCTCACTTCTCAGAAGAAACAACTCATGTCCACAGAGATCAATAGACGTGCTACACCATAGGGCTTCAGCCTGACGGGCCTCCCATGGGCTCATGTTTTTGAAGGCTTGTCCCCTAGACGGTGGCACTACTTAAGAGGGCTGTGGAACCTCTAGAAGGTAGACCTACCTACCTACCTAGCTGACAGAAGTAAGACACTGGATAACAGTCTATTGAAAGTTAGAGCCCAGCCCCTAGTTACCAGTTGCTCTCTGGATCCTGGTCCACAGGGACATGATAAGCCTCCATCAGATGCTCTCACTGACAGGAACTCTGTCATGCCCTCTCTGCCAGAATGGACTGCCCTAAAACCATGAGTGAGAATTACTGTGACATCCCAAAAACCAGTCAGGGGTCACTACTCTTTGTTGTTCATCATGTGGATCCTTCAAATACCATTTCCCCATGCCTCCCTGCAGGCAGGTGAGCCTACGGTCAGCAACTCTACTGGTTTCTAAATGCCATTAGCCTTGGAGTTCTCACCTTGGTGTTGGCTGCTGGAGAAGTACATATTGCTGGGTCCATGTCAGCTCTCTGAGGTGTCAGCCACCTCTATCTACAGTCAACCCTTGGACTTACGAGTTGCCTGCCAAGCTTGCTCCAGAGCCTTTCATTCTCTAGGGTCACTCCCTCAAGTACCCCATCCTTGGCCCCAACTCTACCCATCCCATATGTCTGTCATATCTACAGAAACAAGAGTCAAGCCCAACTCCTCAAAGGCAAAGGAAGGAGGGGGATTACTAAGTACTACAAACAGTTTAACCTGAGGCCACTGGGGACTCTGGGCTACTTCCTTCAGGAGTACCAAGATTTTACAGCTGGATCTTTAATCAAAGTGTTTTGTCTATTGATTGACAAATTCATCTATGGCTATATAATCATTAAAACTGGTAAAAAGTGTGTCCAAAGCAATGGAAAGTGAAGAGAAGGGCTGCGTTGACTTTTGATGAGCAATGGTGTTCCACAGAGAAGGATCTCTCACACAGAGGTGGGAGAGGTTTACTATTCTGAAGTCCTTCTGGGAGATTCCTTCCCTGTTTGTTCCAGAAACAGATGAGAGGAGCCACTGGATGCCCTCAGCATACCATACTCTCA